TTGCTCCTTTATGGGCTAAAGCCACTAGAAATTTACAGATATATCTAGTTCTGTGTTACATTGAAACAGGGGTGTGATGATACACTTATTTTTGTTGTATTCACTTGTAACTATGCCTTGGAGGTCTTCTCCTAGAGAGCTCTCTTATCCTCCAACGTTGTAATTTATTCCTTGTTGCCCTTAATAATATACTTTTTTGCATTAGAAAAGGATTTGTGTATTATATGTGTGTGCGTGCATGTATATATACATGTATGTACATATATAGAACTCTCTTACATTTGTTGAAAAAAAAACTGATTAAGAACTCACCAGAAACTTTCTAGCTTAAACCTTCAGTCCTTTTTCCTCTCTTGATCATTTGTGAAGTTTTTATGCACTAGTTCAATGTGAAGGGGGATCATTCTGTTTTTGCAATAAACTGCCCATACCAGCAATCCATTCTGTGAAAAGGAACACAGCTGTTCTTTTTTTTAAAAAAATAAAAGTATAATATATAGTATCAATGCACCGTATCAAGGGGGTGCCAACCCATATACAAAATTATTTACAATTCAATCAGGATAATAAAAATTCCCGAAGTCTTATATAGATTGCAAAGAATGTCCCATTAATAATAAACCCACTCTCTGAAACCAACTATCTCTAACTCTATCGAAGCCTGTTTCCACCCCCTTTAAAGCTCGCCTAATTTTTGCTTTCAATACAACCCAAAAAATAGCAAGGGGATGAGACCCACTGGCTTTTTTCCACCACTAATACCTTTCCATGCCCGAATCTCCTCCCTTACATTACCTAACATACTCCAACTGATCCCCATAACCTGTATATCATGATCCATAACTTATTTGCCAATAGACACCACAATAAGATATGATTGCAAGTCCCTTCCGCACCCTTAAATAGGAAGCATCTATTCCCCAAAATCTTTCCACTCTTCATTAGCTTGTTAATAGTAATTAGAGATTTCCTTCCTAAATTGTCAATAGTCTAAAAACATTTCCTGCTAGTAATTATACATCCTCTCCCTACCTCTCAAGCGGAAAAAACAATTCTGGGGGTAACATTCATCTTTCCAGATTTGCTTGTAAGTAAATCTAATCTCAGTGAAATCATTTTTAGCCAAGTAGTTGTAGAAAAATTTTACCGTATAAGTAATCTCAGCACTTAGGCTCCAAACTGGTTGATCATTGCTCTCATTCATATAAACTGTGGATATAGAACTGAGTAGGGATTCATACTCAATGATCTCCCGGTCATTGAGATTTCTAATCAACTCCACTTTCCATTCAAGAGCCCCCCGATGGATCTAAAAGACTCACAAATGGTGATCTCTTTGTTTCATATAATATAAAAAATTTAAGGAAATTGCTCTTAAAGTGCTCTGTCCCTAAACCAAGGATCTGTCCAAAGCCTAATTCTTCTCCCATTGCTTAACCCTCCGCTTGATACATCCCTGAAATTTATCCTTCCTACAAATTTTCTTCCACAACCCTTTTTCATGCGGTCTTGATGAAGTTTTGGTATGCCGTTCTCTATCCACTGTACCAAACTTCACCTTGATTACTCTCCTCTAAAGAACACCATTTTCTTTCATGAACTGCCGAAGCCATTTTCCTTGAAGCGCTTTGTTCATATCCACGGGCTTTTTCAACCGTAAACCGCCCTGATGCAACAATTTTTTAATCTTATCTCATGCCACTAGACGATAT